TAGCAAGAACTTATCTTTGGGGTGAGGCGGAACAGGACGTGACTGAGACGAACAAGTGGATGAAGCATAGTAGATATTAATAGGCTATTATTACTAGTCTGTGTTCTTGCTTCTACTGTCTCTGTGTTGGCTCGGGGTCTTGAAGTGGGTAGACTGTAATTATGTGTTAACTGGCTGTTGATTGTTGGTCTTGACTTTTTTGATGTGTAGTGATGCGCTGATGTCGAGTCTCCTGTTGTCTCATACCTGGCGATTACTTCAGTGTTGCTTGTTAAGATGTCTCTGGTGATGGTCTGGTTGTGTGAGGTGATTATGTGTTCCTTGATGGAGCCCTGTTGTTTGTGCATCTCCTGCCACCACTCCTGGCACCAGACCCCAGCCCTGGCACCAGACCCCAGCCACCACCCATGGCACCAGACCCCAGCCATGGCACCAGACCCCAGCCACCACTCCTGGCACCAGACCCCAGCCCTGGCACCAGACCCCAGCCACCACCCATGGCACCAGACCCCAGCCACCACCCATGGCACCAGACCCCAGCCACCACCCCTGGCACCAGACCCCAGCCCTGGCACCAGACCCCAGCCACCAGACCCCAGCCACCACTCCTGGCACCAGACCCCAGCCACTACTCCTGGCACCAGACCCCAGCCACCACCCATGGCACCAGACCCCAGCCACTACCCCTGGCACCAGACCCCAGCCACCACCCATGGCACCAGACCCCAGCCCTGGCACCAGACCCCAGCCACCACTCCTGGCACCAGACCCCAGCCACTACTCCTGGCACCAGACCCCAGCCACCACTCCTGGCACCAGACCCCAGCCACCACCCCTGGCACCAGACCCCAGCCACCACCCATGGCACCAGACCCCAGCCACTACCCCTGGCACCAGACCCCAGCCACCACCCATGTCACCAGACCCCAGCACCTGGCACCAGACCCCAGCCACCACTCCTGGCACCAGACCCCAGCCACTACTCCTGGCACCAGACACCAGCCACCACTCCTGGCACCAGACCCCAGCCACCACCCCTGGCACCAGACCCCAGCCACCACCCATGGCACCAGACCCCAGCCACCACCCCTGGCACCAGACCCCAGCCACCACTCCTGGCACCAGACCCCAGCCACCACTCCTGGCACCAGACCCCAGCCACTACTGGCACCAGACCCCAGCCACTACTGGCACCAGACCCCAGCCACTACTCCTGGCACCAGACCCCAGCCACCACCCATGGCACCAGACCCCAGCCACTACTCCTGGCACCAGACCCCAGCCACTACTGGCACCAGACCCCAGCCACCACTCCTGGCACCAGACCCCAGCCACTACTCCTGGCACCAGACCCCAGCCACTACTGGCACCAGACCCCAGCCACCACTCCTGGCACCAGACCCCAGCCACCACCCCTGGCACCAGACCCCAGCCACCACCCCTGGCACCAGACCCCAGCCACTACTGGCACCAGACCCCAGCCACTACTCCTGGCACCAGACCCCAGCCACCACTCCTGGCACCAGACCCCAGCCACTACTGGCACCAGACCCCAGCCACCACCCATGGCACCAGACCCCAGCCACTACTCCTGGCACCAGACCCCAGCCACCACTCCTGGCACCAGACCCCAGCCACTACCCCTGGCACCAGACCCCAGCCACTCCTGGAACCAGACCCCAGCCACCACTACTGGCACTAGACCCCAGCCACTACTGGCACCAGACCCCAGCCACTACTCCTGGCACCAGACCCCAGCCACCACTCCTGGCACCAGACCCCAGCCACCACGCCTGGCATCAGACCCCAGCCACCACCCCTGGCACCAGACCCCAGCCACCACTCCTGGCACCAGACCCCAGCCACTACCCCTGGCACCAGACCCCAGCCACTACTGGTACCAGACCCCAGCCACCACCCCTGGCACCAGACCCCAGCCACCACTACTGGTACCAGACCCCAGCCACCACTCCTGGCACCAGACCCCAGCCACTACTGGCACCAGACCCCAGCCACCACTCCTGGCACCAGACCCCAGCCACCACTCCTGGCACCAGACCCCAGCCACTACCCCTGGCACCAGACCCCAGCCACCACCCCTGGCACTAGACCCCAGCCACTACTGGCATCAGACCCCAGCCACCACCCCTGGCACCAGACCCCAGCCACTACTGGTACCAGACCCCAGCCACCACTCCTGGCACCAGACCCCAGCCACTACTGGTACCAGACCCCAGCCACCACTCCTGGCACCAGACCCCAGCCACCACCCCTGGCACCAGACCCCAGCCACTACCCCTGGCACCAGACCCCTGCCACCACCCCTGGCACCAGACCCCAGCCACTACTGGTACCAGACCCCAGCCACCACTCCTGGCACCAGGCCCCAGCCACCACTACTGGTACCAGACCCCAGCCACCACTCCTGGCACCAGACCCCAGCCACCACCCCTGGCACCAGACCCCAGCCACTACTGGTACCAGACCCCAGCCACCACTCCTGGCCCAGGCCCCAGCCACTACTGGTACCAGACCCCAGCCACTACTACTGGCACCAGATCCCAGCCACCACTCCTGGCACCAGACCCCAGCCACTACCCCTGGCACCAGACCCCAGCCACCACCCCTGGCACCAGACCCCAGCCACTACTGGTACCAGACCCCAGCCACCACTACTGGCACCAGACCCCAGCCACTATACTGGCACCAGACCCCAGCCACCACTCCTGGCACCAGACCCCAGCCACTACTGGCACCAGACCCCAGCCACCACTACTGGCACCAGACCCCAGCCACCCAGCCAGCCACCCTCCTGGCACCAGACCCCAGCCACCACTACTGGCACCAGACCCCAGCCACCACTCCTGGCACCAGACCCCAGCCACTACCCCTGGCACCAGACCCCAGCCACTCCTGGAACCAGACCCCAGCCACTACTGGCACTAGACCCCAGCCACTACTGGCACTAGACCCCAGCCACCACGCCTGGCACCAGACCCCAGCCACCACCCCTGGCACCAGACCCCAGCCACCACTCCTTGCACCAGACCCCAGCCACTCCTGGCACCAGACCCCAGCCACCACCCCTGGCACTAGACCCCAGCCACTACTGGCACCAGACCCCAGCCACTACTGGCACTAGACCCCAGCCACCACCCCTGGCACCAGACCCCAGCCACTACCCCTGGCACCAGACCCCAGCCACTCCTGGCACCAGACCCCAGCCACTACTGGCACTAGACCCCAGCCACTACTGGCACTAGACCCCAGCCACTACTGGCACTAGACCCCAGCAACCACCCCTGGCACCAGACCCCAGCCACTACTGGCACCAGACCCCAGCCACCACCCCTGGCACCAGACCCCAGCCACTACTGGCACTAGACCCCAGCCACTACTGGCACTAGACCCCAGCCACCACCCCTGGCACCAGACCCCAGCCACTACTGGCACTAGACCCCAGCCACTACTGGCACTAGACCCCAGCCACTACTGGCACCAGACCCCAGCCACCACCCCTGGCACCAGACCCCAGCCACCCCTGGCACCAGACCCCAGCCACCACCCCTGGCACCAGACCCCAGCCACTACTGGCACCAGACCCCAGCCACTACTGGCACTAGACCCCAGCCACCACCCCTGGCACCAGACCCCAGCCACCACCCCTGGCACCAGACCCCAGCCACTCCTGGCACCAGACCCCAGCCACTACTGGCACTAGACCCCAGCCACCACCCCTGGCACCAGACCCCAGCCACCACCCCTGGCACCAGACCCCAGCCACTACTGGCACCAGACCCCAGCCACTACTGGCACTAGACCCCAGCCACCACCCCTGGCACCAGACCCCAGCCACTACTGGCCCCAGACCCCAGCCACTACCCCTGGCACCAGACCCCAGCCACCACTGGCACCAGACCCCAGCCACTACTGGCACCAGACCCCAGCCACTACTGGCATTAGACCCCAGCCACCACCCCTGGCACCAGACCCCAGCCACTACCCCTGGCACAAGACCCCAGCCACTACTGGCACTAGACCCCAGCCACCACCCCTGGCACCAGACCCCAGCCACTACTGGCACTAGACCCCAGCCACTACCCCTGGCACCAGACCCCAGCCACTACTGGCACTAGACCCCAGCCACTACCCCTGGCACCAGACCCCAGCCACTACTGGCACTAGACCCCAGCCACTACTGGCACTAGACCCCAGCCACTACTGGCACTAGACCCCAGCCACCACCCCTGGCACCAGACCCCAGCCACTACTGGCACTAGACCCCAGCCACCACCCCTGGCACCAGACCCCAGCCACTACCCCTGGCACCAGACCCCAGCCACTACCCCTGGCACCAGACCCCAGCCACTACTGGCACCAGACCCCAGCCACTACTGGCACTAGACCCCAGCCACCACCCCTGGCACCAGACCCCAGCCACTACTGGCACCAGACCCCAGCCACTACTGGCACTAGACCCCAGCCACCACCCCTGGCACCAGACCCCAGCCACTACCCCTGGCACCAGACCCCAGCCACTACTGGCACTAGACCCCAGCCACCACCCATGGCACCAGACCCCAGCCACTACCCCTGGCACCAGACCCCAGCCACTACTGGCACTAGACCCCAGCCACTACTGGCACCAGACCCCAGCCACTACTGGCACTAGACCCCAGCCACCACCCCTGGCACCAGACCCCAGCCACTACTGGCACCAGACCCCAGCCACCACACTGGCACCAGACCCCAGCTACCACTCCTGGCACCAGACCCCAGCCACCACTCCTGGCACCAGACCCCAGCCACCACTCCTGGCACCAGACCCCAGCCACCACTCCTGGCACCAGACCCCAGCCCTGGCACCAGACCCCAGCCCTGGCACCTGGCACCATCCATCAGGGGAGGGCCAAGGCCAAGATGGGTGGTGTTTACCTCAGTACACAACCGAGCTACCATTACCGGCACACAAAGTGCCATATGGCGCCTCTCACCTGCAGACCTGTCTTGACACTGACCCCTGTGGCACTGGCAGTCTTGACACTGACCTCTGTGGCACTGGCAGTCTTGACACTGACCTCTGTGGCACTGGCAGTCTTGACGCTGACCTCTGTGGCTCTGGCAGTCTTGACACTGACCCCTGTGGCACTGGCAGTCTTGACACTGACCCCTGTGGCACTGGCAGTCTTGACACTGACCCTTGTGGCACTGGCAGTCTTGACACTGACCCCTGTGGCACTGGCAGTCTTGACACTGACCCCTGTGGCACTGGCAGTCTTGACACTGACCCCTGTGACACTGGCAGTCTTGACACTGACCCCTGTGGCACTGGCAGTCTTGACACTGACCTCTGTGGCACTGGCAGTCTTGACACTGACCCCTGTGGCACTGGCAGTCTTGACACTGACCTCTGTGGCACTGGCAGTCTTGACACTGACCCCTGTGACACTGGCAGTCTTGACACTGACCCCTGTGGCACTGGCAGTCTTGACACTGACCCCTGTGGCACTGGCAGTCTTGACACTGACCTCTGTGACACTGGCAGTCTTGACACTGACCCCTGTGGCACTGGCAGTCTTGACACTGACCTCTGTGGCACTGGCAGTCTTGACACTGACCTCTGTGGCACTGGCAGTCTTGACACTGACCTCTGTGGCACTGGCAGTCTTGACACTGACCTCTGTGGCACTGGCAGTCTTGACACTGACCCCTGTGGCACTGGCAGTCTTGACACTGACCCCTGTGGCACTGGCAGTCTTGACACTTTCCGAGTCCTTGTCGTTTGCTGAATCAATCATTTATTGATTGAATTCCTTGTCATGTCTTGAGAGTTGAGACGGAAGGAGAGAGTAGAGGTAATATTGAGCGTGTTAGCGGGGCAGTAAGGGAGCATCATGGTGCTTCATCTCCGAGGGGATGTATATATAGAGATGTGTTGATCATCGGCAGGGCGGGAGGCTGGCGGCGGGTAGTGGGAAGATCTCCCTGTATCTCCTCTACGTCTTGTTGATGCTTCGTCACACTTGTGTGTGTCCGAAGGGAGTAGCTGTCGTGTATGATCACCCTACCACCACCACTACCACCACCACTACCACCACTACCACCACTACCACCACTACCACCACTACCACCACTACCACCACCACTACCACCACTACCACCACCACTACCACCACTACCACCACTACCACCACTACCACCACCACTACCACCACTACCACCACCACTACCACCACTACCACCACTACCACCACTACTACCACCACTACCACCACTACCACCACTACCACCACTACCACCACCACCACCACTACCACCACCACTACCACCACTACCACCACTACCACCACTACCACCACCACTACCACCACCACTACCACCACCACTACCACCACTACCAACACCACTACCACCACCACTACCACCACCACTACCACCACTACCACCACTACCACCACCACTACCACCACTACCACCACCACTACCACCACTACCACCACTACCACCACCACTACCACCACCACTACCACCACCACTACCACCACCACCACAACCACCGCCCAATTATATGTCATCAGTGAGTGAGGCTGCGGCTATACAATGTTACAGGTACGGTCCTCTCCAGAGTCACACCTCAACAGGGTAACATCAGCAGCATGTGTGACGCCAACAACCACAACGTCGTTCAGAAACCCAAACCAGGGCTCTTTTAAAGGCAATCTCACACAACCTTTGTTAAACCAGCACTGAAATATGCAGCACCGGCCTGGAACCCGGACCTCGTAAAGAATATAACCAAAATTGAAAATATACAGATGTTAGCAACATGTGTGAGAGAATATACAGATGTTAGCAACATGTGTGAGAAAATATACAGATGTTAGGAACATGTGTGAGAAAATATACAGATGTTAGGAACATGTGTGAGAAAATATACAGATGTTAGCAACATGTGTGAGAGAATATACAAATGTTAGCAACATGTGTGAGAGAATATACAGATGTTAGCAACATGTGTGAGAAAATATACAGATGTTAGCAACATGTGTGAGAAAATATACAGATGTTAGCAACATGTGTGAGAAAATATACAGATGTTAGCAACATGTGTGAGAGAATATACAGATGTTAGCAACATGTGTGAGAGAATATACAGATGTTAGCAACATGTGTGAGAGAATATACAGATGTTAGCAACATGTGTGAGAAAATATACAGATGTTAGGAACATGTGTGAGAAAATATACAGATGTTAGGAACATGTGTGAGAAAATATACAGATGTTAGGAACATGTGTGAGAAAATATACAGATGTTAGGAACATGTGTGAGAGCCGGGAGGGCTGAGCTGCGAGGAGAGGTTAAGGGGCCCGGGACATGAGGAGTGATGTTCCAAGTATGAAAAGTAGTGATAAATTTTTATACAAATCTCCCGTTATTTGGCATGAGCGTCGTGACCACAAGAGCCGTGACGAAGGTTCGAATCTAAGTCCGAGAGGATCGCAGACGCTGCCTTAATCGACTGAGCTACAACATGGTAAAAGAATTGTAAACGGGAAAATCATCCTGATTTACCAACGGATCCTGCAGTCTCTCAGAGACACAAACCTGGGGCCAGATTCACGAAGCAGTTACGCAAGGACTTACGAACATATACATCTTTCCTCAATCTTTGACGGCTTTGTTTACATTTATTAAGCAGTTTACAAACATGAAAACTTGCCCATCTACTGTTGTTATTGTTATAAACAGCCTCCTGGTGCTTCGGAGCTCATTAACTGTTTAATAATTGTAAACAAAGCCGCCAAAGATTGAGAAAAGATGGACAGGTTCGTAAGTGCTTGCATAACTGCTTCGTGAATCTGGCCTCAGGGTTTTACGCAATTCCCCCCATGCACTCTTTTACCATGTTTTAGCTCAGTCGATTAAGGCAGCGTCTGGGATCCTCTCGGACGTTGATTCGAACCCTCGTCACGGCCCTTGTGGATTTGTTCATTTACATTGCACAGTTTCAATATTTCTTATGTCTCTTTGTACAAAAACATGACAACCTTTTTTTTTTTTGGGGGGGGCGGTTCCTTCTTTTTTCTCTCCTTTGTTTCTATGCGAGTTTATTGTTTCTATGCGAGTTTAATGTTTCTATGCGAGTTTTGTTGTGACTTCTACATCTTGGAGAATACATATCCGGCACTAAGATGTGAAGTTAGAAGTAATTGGTCAACATGTTAATCAGCCACAGGTGGCAAAAGTTGTCACTTTTATTTATTTTTGGCCAATTTATTTACAGATTTCTTTGTCTATTTATGTTGTATTGATGAATGAGGACCTGATGAGGGCCTTATCACTTATATATGGGCAATAAAGTTACTCCATTATATATATTTCGTTTTAAGAACAAAGGAATAAAGGTAACTGCAGAAGGCCTATTGGCGATGTTGGGCACGTTGGGGGAGGCAGAAGTTGTGGGAGCCACCTCCAGCCACACATATGACGCCAGAACTGACACAGACGTTGAAGGTGAAAATAGTTCACTTATAACGTAACAATTACAACAAGACTGGTGATCACTGATAGGTAAGTAACTGCCCCTACACCTGCCCCCACACCTGCCCCTACACCTGTCCCTACACCTGCCCCTACACCTGCCCCCACACCTGCCCCTACACCTGTCCCCTACACCTGCCCCCACACCTGCCCCTACCCTGTCCCTACACCTGCCCCCACACCTGCCCCTACACCTGCCCCTACACCTGTCCCCACCACCGCCGCCGTCGTCGTCGTCGTTACAGTCGTTGTCGTCAGTCTTCGTCGTCATTTCCAAACTGGTTCGCATATGCAAAGTCAACAGTAATTTGGGACATTCTTACAACACGAGAAGCGAATCATGTTGTGAGGTAAGACGTCGGCGGCGAGCAAGCTATCTGGTGGTATAGTTCCCGGCCCCCGGCCCCCCGTCACCACCAGGGGGCGGCGAGCAAGCTATCTGGTGGTATAGTTCCCGGCCCCCGGCCCCCCGTCACCACCAGGGGGCGGCGAGCAACCTATCTGGTTGTATAGTTCCCGGCCCCCGGCCCCCGTCACCACCAGGGGGCGGCGAGCAACCTATCTGGTTGTATAGTTCCCGGCCCCCGGCCCCCGGCCCCCGTCACCACCAGGGGGCGGCGAGCAACCTATCTGGTTGTATAGTTCCCCCGGCCCCCCCCCCCGTCACACCAGGGGGCGGCGAGCAACCTATCTGGTTGTATAGTTCCCGGCCCCCGGCCCCCGGCCCCCCGTCACCACCAGGGGGCGGCGAGCAACCTATCTGGTTGTATAGTTCCCGGCCCCCGGCCCCCCGTCACCACCAGGGGGCGGCGAGCAACCTATCTGGTTGTATAGTTCCCCCCGGCCCCCCCCCCCGTCACCACCAGGGGCGGCGAGCAACCTATCTGGTTGTATAGTTCCCGGCCCCCGGCCCCCCGTCACCACCAGGGGGCGGCGAGCAACCTATCTGGTTGTATAGTTCCCGGCCCCCGGCCCCCCGTCACCACCAGGGGGCGGCGAGCAAGCTATCTGGTTGTATAGTTCCCGGCCCCCGGCCCCCGTCACCACCAGGGGGCGGCGAGCAACCTATCTGGTTGTATAGTTCCCGGCCCCCGGCCCCCCGTCACCACCAGGGGGCGGCGAGCAACCTATCTGGTTGTATAGTTCCCGGCCCCCGGCCCCCCGTCACCACCAGGGGGCGGGGGCGGGGGGGGCAAGGGCGTGAGGAAGGTTGTAAACACAGAGACTCGTCTACTGAAGGTGACCAGTGTGAGGCTGTGGGAGGGTGTAGGTGTTCCATGCCGGGGTCCGGGCTGGTGATGGCCGCCTCAACCCTGCCTATATGTGTGGCTGTAAACACTCTGCTTGTCATCCCCCCGGGTGGGTACACGGCTACCTGGTCACTGCGTCTCAGTGGACCGTCTTACCAGGGTTCGAATTATTCAACAGTGCTTTAGAACAATTGGGATTTAATTGTCCGTGAATTGCGTTGTCATGAAAATGCTCAATCTCGCTGCTAAATTGTGGGAAGCGAGCAGAAGGTGGCAGAGAGAGAGAGAGAGAGAGAGAGAGAGAGAGGGGGGGAGTGAGAGAGGGGAGAGAGAGAGAGAGAGAGAGGGGGGGGGGAGGGAGAGAGAGAGAGAGAGAGAGAGAGAGAGAGAGAGAGAGAGAGAGAGAGAGAGAGAGAGAGAGAGAGAGAGAGAGAGAGAGGAGCAGGGTAAATGCTTCACACCAGGAAATATATATTCTGTGAGGCAATTTGCTTGACAAATATAACATAAAGTAGTGTTATGTAGGTACGTGTGTGTGTCTTGACTATTATTTGTATCTGCAGAATCGAGCTATTAGCTCTTGGGCCCCGCCTTTCCATCCCATGTATTTTTCCCCTATTATATTTTCTACACATATTTATCTCTAACACACACACACATCCCAGGAAGCAGCCGGTAGCAGCTGTCTAATTCCCAGGTACCTATTTGCTGCTAGGTGAACAGATGCATCAGAGTAAAAGAAACTGCCCATTTGTTTCCGCCTCCACCGGGAATCGAACCCGGGTCATTAGGACTTCGTCCCCCAGGCGGTATCCACTCAGCCGTGAAACCCCCTGGGGCCTGTGTGTGTACTCACCTAGTTGTGCCTGTGGGGGTTGAGTTCTGGCTCTTTGGTCCCGCCTCTCAACTGTCAATCAACAGGTGTACAGGTTCCTGAGCCTACTGGGCTCTATTATATCTACACATTAAGCTGTGTATGGAGTCAGCCTCCACCAC